ACCCACACTCATTCCTTGTTTCTCTTCCATTTGCAGAATCTCTCACCTAGCATCTGCCACTTGCCTTTGGTGTCCTCCTTGCTTTAAAAACTCCTTCAGTTTCCCTAGAAGCAGACCTTGAGACAAGGACTTGCATGCAAGTGATGTATGAGGGAAGTGTCCCAGGAGAGACTGAAAAAAGAGACCAGGGAAAGGAGAACAGACAGGGAGGAGCCCAAGCACGTGGTGGGTGGCTCCAGCCTGACCCCCTGGGGGAGACTCTGGGGTGTGGGCGGGGCTCCCGACCCACCCAGTGGAGGCAAGGGAGCTGGGCTGTCACCTCCAGCATCACCAGCCTCTGCCTGAGCACCCCTCCCAGGGACCAAAACCCCCAGGCACTTGGAGCTCTCTGCACTGTGGACAAGGGGGTTTTGGAAACTCAAGAAAGAAAGGCATCCAGGGGTAGTGACGGGTAGGCGTGATTAGGAACAGAAGCGCTCAGAAGCCAGAGGTGCGGCATAGAGACACAATGCAGGTGGCATGAGGCGATACTCTCTGCCCAGTGGTAGATGACTGTCCTTCACACGACCTCTAGGGAGCACATCTCAAACTACTTTCCAAGGTCACAGCCATTGAGATACTAGCCTCACCTCCTCGCTGGTTTTCCTTTTGTTCTCAGAAATTTTACCCATTCATCTTTGAGCGTACCAGCTGGAAAAGCCTATTTGGAAATGGAATTTCACTCTGTGCTCCCCCCTACACCCCACCAGCTTCCCCACAGCCCTTACACGAGCCCTGGGAGCCAGTCGCCTACATGGGCGGTGGCAGAGTGAGGTTCGATCATTGGTATTTGTTTCAAGAACCTACCGTAACATGTTAGTGTTCTAATATGGAAAAAAATATGCAGGTAGCTTTCAGATGCATTGACCTGCATCTCCAATACTCAGGTCTAGATGGTTCTTATACGAGCAGGTCCATGTCTACATGGTTTCTTATCCCTCCAATGGATGGTAGGCTCTCCTCGCTAAAGCTCTAGCTTCCACATCTCTACTTTAATTTGTAGACACATGGTAGGACTGAAAGAGTTGGCAGAGGACCCTAGAGGCAGCCTGATATCAAAGTACCTTGTTACAAACATGTCCCAGCTTCGCCCATCCAGAATTTATTTGAGGCATTGGGGACTGAGCTATATTTCTCCTAGGGGACGGGAAGTTGCTGTCCTTGATCTTCATGGCTAATAAGCAAGCCTGTCGCCCTGGAGCAAGAGGTGGGGGACTTAGTCCTGCAGGGATGGAGAGTGGGCGCTCTGCATTCACATCTCCCGGCTCCTTCTCCCATGAGCTGGGTGGGCCTCACTGAACCTAGGTTCTCATCTACAAACTGGCAGTTAATCACAGTTATTTCCTGGGACACTGTGAGGATCACATGTGGGTATAGGACCTAAAAAGCCCTTAAAAACAGTGTTTGGCACATTCAAAGTACTCAATAAAGGCTGCTTGTTGCATCATCTGGGAAAAGAGGTGACAATACCTAAAGTAAGACTTTTTCTTTTGAAAATGATGTCCTTTTTGGTCTTGGGATCTGCTGAGGTGGTCTTGTCTAGCCTCAAGTTTCATTGCCTTCCTTGGGTTCCTGAGCCGTGGCCCTGAGGGTTGTGGTCACCGTCTGTGCCTGAGAGCCTTGTGTGCATTTCCCTTAAATTTCACGAAGCCTCAGATTGTGTCGTGTGGTCCACAGCTGTGCCTTTGTCCATTTGAAGGAAGCCCTTCCCAGTGAAAAGGTGTAGAGCCTGAACCCAGTGCACAAAAGGGTCCAGGTAAGGAAAGGTTGTTGAGGAATGGGAAGAGCTCTCCAAACCAGGGAGATGGTGCTCCTCTCTATGAGGAGGACAAGCTGCAGGAAGGTGCTTCCCAGCCCATATGGATGGAGCCAGCCCGCAGGGATCGGAGGTGCCCGTGAGGTGAGAGGCGAGTTCCCTCCTCTGCCTCCCTGTCACCTGTCTGCTGCAAGCAAACAGGACAGGGAGGTGGCTTCTTGGCTTGCTGATGCCGGTAGGGCCCATGCCCAGAAGGCTGGCAAGTCCCTAAGTTGGATGGAGCCCTGAGACACTCCATGCAAACCCTGCCCAACTCAACAGGGCTGCCTACCTGGAGGAAACTCAAACATGGAGCCCATTCTTACTGCTCATTATTTGACTGGCCTGAGGCTGGAGGGGTAGGGCTGCATCCAGGGCTATCAGAAGTGGCGTCTGGACACACCAGTCTTATCCACCCCCTTGGGCCTCCTTGGCTGGAATTCGGTTCCTGTCCCTCCTCGCTGCATGTTCATGGGCATCTGGAACCTTCTTTGTGGCTCACCTGTGACTTCACTGATTTTACCAGCCATACCTCCCAAACCCATTAACTCCATACATTGTGTTTCTAATACCTTCATATCCAGAATACTTTGCAGAGCGCCAGTGTCCTCATAATTAAGCCTGTTGTTCAGAGTCCTGACTGCATGACTCAGTTGTTCATAGTCCTGACTGCATGGTAGGATCACCTGGATTAAAAAAGAGACAGACAGGTAGAAGGAAGGAACAAAGGGAGAGGGAAAATCAGTGAGCCTGGGACCTGGCCCCTCTCTGGAGGGAAAGCTGTGGGAGTGGCGTGCGGTCATTGGTTAACTTATAAAGCTCCCCCAGCAATTCTAACGCACGGGCGAGGTGAAAACCACTGTTAGCAGACGCACTGTAGAAACGTTTACTTAACCTACCGTGTTTGTGTCCTGTAACACCATAGATGCTGTTCTGAAAAACACCAGGCATTAGACCCTATGCTGGGCACAACTTGGAATAAATAAGCGTAGCCCCTCTTCAGGACCCTTACAGTTAAACCCACAAACTGCAAAGGTGCGGTCCTTAGCTTTACAGTTAAACACGGAGAAATGATAAATATTGCCAGATATGCAAGCGTTCTGGAATCCTGCATGCGTTAACCGTTTGCAGAGAGGTATTAAAATTCAAATTTCCACTGATGCGAGTCACACGTGATAAGCTATTCTGAAGCTAGATCTCCATACACAGAATTTACACCGGAAATGATCGGGAATGTGCCCCACAGCCCAACTGCTTCAGAGCCTCTGAGAAGCCCATGCAAGCTAAGGACTCGTTCAAGAAAAACACACATTTGCACACAGTTTCAGAATCCACAAGCCTGCCATGGGCCCCAGGTTAAGAATTCCCAAAGTAGGGAGCTTTCATCACCACGTCCGAGGGAGGAGAGTCAGCTCAAAAGCGACCGTGTTTCTTCCACATCTTGGCCAGGCAAGGGCTGTGAAGGAAAAGAGAAAATAAACTTTATAGAAAACCTGGCAGGGTTTTACCGAATGAGGAAAACTAGATGAAGTAAGTAGAGCCCTTTTAAAATTATAGTTGTTGTTTTTATGGCTAGCTCTTGCACAATGGGAAGGATTTAAATCCATGGGGAGATTTACAGATGCCTTCCCGGGAGAGGGAACTCTGGAAGCAAACATACAGGCAGTGCAGTCTCCCAGCGGAGCGAGGATTGCTGGCTTTGCTGGAGGTGAGGGCACCTCGGCGGACACGGGAGGACAGAAGGCCGCGTAGACGGTAGGGTCAGGCTCCTGCTGTGTAGGAGTCCCCATAATGCCTCCACTGTGGAGTCAAGTTCCTGAGCTCAACGTTGCCTCATCTGTTCTGTGAGTCTCCCTCTCCCAGTGACCAGGCAGAGGAGGTGGGGCTCAGTACGGCCATCTCCTGAACAGGGAGGAAGGGCCAGGGTTCTGGCAAGTTCCCAAACCAGAAAGGTGTGTGCTGACGTCCTGATCTTGGGATTCCTCTACCTGTGGAAACTCTGGGTAGAGGCTCCAAATAGACAGCGGCCAACTCTTATCACAACCACCACCACCTCTTCCTCCCCCCTCTGTCCGCCCCCATCTCCTTTCCTTAGAGCTCCCCTGATGTCCCGCTATCTCACCTCATCCCTTACTTTGAGAAGAAAGCCCCCTGGGAGCCCCACCATTGTCTCTGAGCTTCTTACTGGGTCTGGTGGTGTGCTAGACATGTTTCGGTAACTCTGTGTATATGAAAGGCCACACTTTGTAGTCCGGAGCATCAGAAGTCAGCGATCATTTTGCAGTTACGTGACATTTGAACCCTCGGGCGCAGATCTGGTAGGTGGGAGTCGCTTTGGCCACTTGGGCCTCTCTCATCACTGCATCCTCTGTTCATCCTCACCCGTGTGCGTGTTCTTCGCTTCTGCGCTCAGGGAGGGGCCGGCCCCGCATGGGCCTTTCCTCCCCCCATGATATAGAAGAGCAGGCATTTCATAAAAGGGGCCTGTGAAGAGGCAGAAGAGGGATCCAGTTAATTAAACTAACATAAATCGCTACAAAAATCATCCTGATAATCTCACTTGGCTTTGTTTCCAGATGCATGTTTATAGGAAACACCAGAATGTCCAAAAACTAACCATTGTTACAATGCCTCCTGTCTCCAGGGGACATCTGGCTGCTTCTCCGTGCTTCTCCGCACGTGCCCCATGGCCTCACTGTCCTGTCCATGCCTCACCTCTGTGCCTCTGCACCACCAGATAGCAAAGCCACATCACCCTCAGACACCTTTAAAATTCTGTGCATCCAATTGGAACTGACCATGGCTTTGGAAAATCCAATATAAGCAGCATATAGATTTCGGGGAGTGAGGGAAAGAATCCTGATCTCCTAGATGGATAGAGGGGAGGAAAGCGTTTAGGAAATGTGATCAGCGCTTTTCGTAACCATCCACAAACACCTGCCCTGGGAAGCCGAGCAGCCCACCAAACCGGGGAGAGCTGGTCTCTGAGACCAGCTGGTGCCACGGATCGTGTTGAAAATGGTGTGGGGTTACTTTTGATGGTTCATCTCTGAAACGCTCTTCACAGAGACACACGTAGAGATGACAAGTGTTACCCATTGCCTGCCTGCCACGCTCCAGTCGCTCAAAGTTGTTCTGTGCTTTCTCTGCTGTTCACTCTCCTCAGTGTGGATGGACCCTCCTATGAAGTCATGCAGATCGACGTGGAAATAGAGGAGCCCAGTGACCCGCCGGCCACACAGCTTGTCACGTGGCAAGTGGAGTATCCAGGAGACATCACGTCTGACTTGGGTGTCTCCAAGATCTACGTGAGTCACAAGGACCTGATCGGCGTCATACCCCTGGCCATGGTAAGAATGTCCCTGCCTTGGGTTGTCAATACAGAACCCGAGGGAAAGAAAGGCTCCGCGCTCTCACCTAGACTTGGTGGGGAAGTGCTGGTGAACTGGGAACCAGGGTCGGGGGGCACTGCAACCTGAAGTATACTACAAAGAGCTGAGTCTAAAAAATATATTGTCTCTAAATACTATTTTCAGAATATTATTTAGAAAATCATCAAACTCCAGGTATTAGATTTGGATCTTCCATTATAGGGAAAGTATCGATCATTTAATAAATGTGTTTCTATCATACATTGTAGACTTTAAGGATCTTAAATACATACACCCGCAGAGACCAAACAGATTAAGTATATGAGTGAGTCGTGGCAGGTGACATGGCCAGTACCTGCCCAGTCATAAGGCTGCACCTAGTAGGAAAGCCATGTAGGAAAGCCAACGTGGGAAGCCACATTCTTCGTTCTTAAGATCTACCGATTTTCCAAGGAAGCCTTAAATATAGTTTGAATGTGAAATGTCAACTTGTTCGTGTTGGCAGCTACATAAAAATAAATGAAACACTATATAGGAAAGCGTTACCTATATTCATTCATAGGGCGTCTGTTTACAACTTGGAAAAGACTGAAGACCATTAGTCTGTGTGTGTGTTCTCTAGGATTTGTGGAACGGAGATGGGCTTTCATCCGTGAAGGGCCGGCCCTGGGTTGTCCTGGAGTGCCTGTGAGAAGACCTGCCTTTCATGTTCCCTTAACAAAACACACTGACGCCCCATAGAGCTCTACCTTTCCTTAGACTCTTCAGGAGCCCCTACAAAGGAATAATACGTTTTTTAAAATGTGAATTTTCACAGTGCAAAGGCTTGGGCATGTTCGTCTGCCGACAATAATGTGAGCTTTCTCCTGTTATGAAAGGACTTTTCCTGTCAGAAGTGAAGCATGAGTTGACCTATCCGTTGACTGCCTGGTGTCTCCTCTATACCATTTGTTAGAAAATATTGACAAGTGTTATTAGAGAGTGCAGAAAGAACCTCAGGAATCAATCTTTCAATAAAAGGTAGCATGGACAGTTGCCTGGTGACAGCAGGTTAGTTATTATGCTGTTCATCAGGAAATGTAAAGGTGTTTGGGGTACTTCTGTTGATAAGGGCTCCTATTAACGATTTGTTTTATTTTGAAGGCATCGAGCCTCCCCAGGTGCCTCATTTCACGTGCGAGGGTAGCATTCCTTCGGTTAGGCTCTTAGTGAGTGGTTCTATTACTGGGGATGGCAAGACCATTTGTCTTGAATAAGGAATTATTTGAATTTGCTCCTTTTCAGCATCTTTGGTTGGATGAGCTGTTTGCAAGACTCGGAACAACTTCCGTGGCTTTGCTCAGCATAAGTTAACTTGTTTGATTCCCACACTCCGCATTTCCCCTGCCTCCCAGATCCCTGATGCTCCCATCACTTATCCCAAACCCCGTTGGTCTCCTTACCCCGCATGAATCCCCACTCTGACAAGGCGCCCCTCCATCCTCCGCTGGTCTCCGACCTTTCTCATCTTGCCTCGCCCCTCTAGCTATGATAGATGTAGCACTGTAAGATCATGTGATGGCAGAGCCAACAGCTAGTTGGCCCTTTATCAATTGGGAATTGCATTTGGTTGAAAGCAAGAGAGCTCCTCACTCACCCTGTCTACTTTAGTCCAGCCAAGGGTGTCTTAAATACACACGTGTTTCTTTTTTCACATACGGGAGCTCCTAAGGTTGGTGGTGTAGTTTTGGTAGGGTGCCTCGTGCCATCTGAGACCCAGGCTCCATCTCTATTTCTGCCTCAGCAGTTTGAGGGCATGAATTCCATGCTCATGGTTCCCTTAGGGTCCAGGATGGATGCTGGAGTGCCGACCAACTTAGCCATATTCTGTAGACCAGAAAAAGTAAGAAATGCAGAAGCTCAAACATGGCCAGTTACTTTTCCCTTTCAAGAAGCAAGGATCCGACATAAGATATCTGGTTACATCCATTTGGCAAACACTTAGTCATATGGTTATACTTAGATGAAAGGAAGGATGGTGCCTCTTTATTTTAGCTCATCACTTAGACTCTGTTACAGGGAAACAAGAGGAAAATAATTATTTCAAGGCAATGGAAAGGTTTATAACAATCCTCCTTCATTTCCACGTAAGGAAGTGGAGGCTCAGAGGGGGTCACTCGTTTTGTACCTGAGTGTTTTCCATATTCTGTACTGATCTTCAGGAAACTCCTAGGAAGCAAAATCACATAACTGATTCCTAGGCTCCAATCGCGAGCTATGGAGACATGCTTACTTCACGGTGCCTCACTTCCCCATCTCAAGGGGGAAAAAGAGACAATACCTACTCATAGGTTGTTGTAAGAATAAAGTGATAACTCAAGAGTGCCTGGGACAGTGTCCAGTCCAGAGCAAACGTACAATAAATGGTAGCTATTATTATGTTCATTTAAACTCTGGATGCAAGGTATAAACAGTACCCTGACAATAATATTGTAGATTAGCCCCCATATTTCACGACATTTGAACAGTGGTAGACTACACATAGGTGCCCACTGATTCTTGAACTGAGTTGAATGAATCTGATTAGAACACATTTGGTCTGATGAGGATTACTGGTAATCTTGGAGCATCTTCCTCTGGAACTGAGGGTGAAGTCATAAGGGTCCCGACTCCCCAGTCTTTCGTGTTTGGAGTGTTCTGAGACCCCCTTCCCGAGAAGCTTCCTTTCACCTTTGACTTGATTGGTAAAAGAATTTTGGCCATTTTTAGGGAGATGGCCCTCATTAAATGAATTTTTTGCGGATTTCATTTCAATTTTACTTTGTCTTTGGTCATCATATGTTCATTGGGGGATGTTTGAAGGAGTTCTGATATCCATGCATCTATTAACCTATTCATCTGCATCACACGTTCTTGAAATATTAGAGAATTGAAATATTAGAGCAGGAAAGCCAGCTCACCAAGACCATGATGAGTGAGGAGAAGGTGCCTGGGTTGAGATCATGGTCCCTGAGCGCTCGTAAGCTGCGTAAGGGGGTGGATCTTCATGTGTGATTGGAAGCCACTGCTAGGCTCTCGGCAGAGAGTCACATGGACCCATGCGTGTTTTTAGAAGAGCACCCAGCTGTAGGTGGAGAATAGATTTGGCAGAGCAAGAGAGCTGTCAGAGAGAGTTAGGGCCTGTCCTTTGGCTGTTGACAACTCTGACCTAATGAGTGCAGCATTTACTCGTCCCTAACCGGTCCTGTAGGAGTGTGCGCAGCCTGGGGCTTATCACATGCCTCCAGGGACTTAGGACATAGCCTTCCTCTATCCTGTTGCTGAGGGACCCCAAAGATACTGACCTCATCCCCATGGCCTTGGATTAATAATAACCACGTCCCTGTGGCAGCCAGGAGGCCCAGGCAGATGGGAAGGAGAATGTGCTCCTTTCCCTCCAGGACCTGACCTGTCCCTGAATGCAGCACGTCTGCTCTCAGCCCATCAGCCGTGAGCTCGGCCGAGGGATTACCACTAGCTGTAGGGGAGGTGGGAGGGTGAGCTTTATCCCTGGAGGCCACGTGTCCCCGCTAAAAGTATTTTATGGTGGAAGAAGGAAGGAACACATCCTGGATGGCCCCTCGGAGCTGCGGTAAGGACAGTGGAGAAATGGCGAGGTGCACCCTTTTGGGTACATCTTAGTAAGTAGATAGATGATTGGACTCTCCCATGCAGGGCACATAGGTGTGAAAGAAAAATGGGAGAAAAAAAAACCGTGAGTTCTTGTTCTAGGCTCATTCAAATGGCTTCCCATATATCGCCCATGATCCACACACAAACCTAAAATGTTTAAGAGATCTTCTATTACGAAGTATCCTATGGCTTCCATTTTTCCACAGAAATCTTTATACACATCTCCGATCGATTCCCGTATATAAACTTTTAAGAATGAATTCAAATCAAAGGATATGAATCAAAGGATATGCAATATTGTAATTTTTTTTAATAACAGTTTCGAAACTGCCTTCTGGTAAATTTAACCAATTTAATTCCACCTGCTGTGTATGATGATAGCCATTTCCCTGCAAATTTATAAACATAGGATATTAAAATTTAAAAAATAGGCTATTTATTAGGCAAAAATTGTACATCATTGTTGCTTTAATTTACCCTTTTTTGATTCCATTTGTAAATTTTCTCTTTTTTAAAGATTTTATTTATTTTTTTGAGAGAGAGAGAGAGCACAAATGGGGGAAGGGCAGAGGGAGAGAGAGAAGCAATCTCCACGCTGAGCAGGGAGTGGGGGCTAGATCCCAGGACCCTGAGATCATGACCCAAGTTGAAGGCAGACGTTTAACGGACTGAGCCACCCAGGTGTCCCCATTTGTAAATTTTCTTATCAAACATTTTTTTCTTACCCATTTCCTTTCCCTGTTGGGAATTCCATTTCTTGTTACTTTGTTATAAAAAAATCTTTTTTTTTTTGTGGTAAAAACAGGTAACATGAAATTTACCATCTTAATCATTTACAACTGTAGAGTTCATTAGTGTTAAATATTTTCACATGATTATGCAACAGATGTCCAAAACTTTCTCATCTCACAGCCCTGAAACTCTACCCAGTAAACACCAACTCCTCCCCCTACCCCCAGCCCAGCCCGTGGATACTACTTTCTCCTTTCTGTTTCTACATATTAGCGATGCTGACCTTTTCTTTCTTTTTTTTTTTTTAAGATTTTATTTATTCATTTGAGACACGGAGATACAGAGAGAGAGAGCACGAGCAGGGGGAGAGGCAGAGGGAGAAGCAGGCTTCCTGCTGAGCCAGGAGCCAGACGTGGGGCTCGATCCCAAGACCCTGGGATCATGACCCGAGCCGAAGGCAGACGCTTAACGACTGAGCCACCCAGGCGCCCTGATGCTGACCTTTTCTTTGGCATGTTATTGCAAATATTCTTCCCAATTTACCGTGTGCTTTCTAACCTCACAGATCATATGTTTTACCATGCAGAAGTTTGGGG